ATCCACCATGCCTGACTCTGTCCCGAGCTTCCTTGATGCCGCATTACCCCCACTGGGGCCTTCCTGATGCAGCGCCTAGCAAGGAGATGAAGATGTTGTCTACCATAGCCAGTAAGTGCCTCGCCACTCTCCTCCTTGGTCCCCTTCTCCCTCCTCCTACCGGTAGAGCTCCACCATAGCCAAGGTGGAAGCTCCCGGCTTCTTCCTCCCAGCAGCGCTGTAGTGCCCAGCGCTACTCCAGCCAGCGCTCCGGCAGCGTGTCGCCAAACTTGCACACTGAAGAATGAGGTGGAGCTCTTGCATCCGCCTCTAGATATAGCGGCCTGCTTGCCTCTTGGGCGGTGACTTCCAGGCCGCTCGGCCTCCCAAGCAACCGGTACCTCCTTCGTTTCGGAGGGAAACATCATTGCAGACTCTGATATTGCCCGTACAGGCTCTAGACTCAGACTGGTTGGACTGGTACCGGCCTAGACCTACCCTACCGCTACTGGACTCTAAAAATGCCAACTTTGTCTTTTTGTGCTCGGCCTCCAGTGCCCCTCACGCCAACTGCAGTGGGGTGCAGTATTGGCCTACCGGCCTACTTGAGTGTTTTTCCGCTACCCCAAGGGCCTCAGGGCCGCTAGCTTCGCCACTTGAGTGTTTTTCCCTGCTACAACCCTCAATGCCATGGCCACAGGTAAGTACCGGCCCTACGGGCCGACCAAACAAGCAAGTACCCTTGCGGGTCCCACACACACTCGCACCAACAAGCACTCAGACAGGCATGCAGGTCACAAGCACGCACACACAGACAGACTTAGAAAACACAGCAGAGTGCGGGAATCTCAGCAAAGCATCCATTCCATCGGCAGAACTTCAGAAATCATCAGTGTTCTCAGTCTGTGTTTTGACGGGTCATTACACTACCCCCCCCTCAAGAGCGAGGTCCCTTCGAGCGAGTAACTCAATCAGAGTCCTTGCATAGTGCATCATAGGCGTAGATAGCAAAGAGAGATCGGGCGTGTTCCATAGGAGTCAGGGCAGCAGTGAATTTTGGTTGCTGTTCAGCACTTATCAACCGTTCATAGGCATTCACGACACGCGGTGCACTGTGCAGTAAGTCTTTCCTAGCAATCCAATAGAAGTCGTCCAACGGATGATACAAAAAAAATACTTTGTACTGTCTGTTTCTTCCCTTCCCACTGTGTTCGACAATCCTATCAACCTCATGTCCGCCATTGATTGCGCGGGGAATCATCGACTCTCGGTATTTGAAAGTCTCAGGTGATTCATACGGAAACAACTTTGACGCATGAAAAACTAGGTATGTGCGCAAATGTGCAGGCACATCAATCGTATAGGAAGGACCGAAGGAATCACTCCCTACCTGACTGGGTATGTGCGCAAATGTGCAGGCACATCAATCGTATAGGAAGGACCGAAGGAATCACTCCCTACCTGGTTCAAGACCTGCCACGGACCGTAGTACTGAGGAAGAAGCTTTCGTGATACACCTTCTTCTTCAGAAAACTCAGACATTTTGACCCAGGCATAACTTCCCACTGTGAATGGTGCAGGCTGGCGCTTCTTGTTAGCATGTTTAATCATGGCACTGCGTCGCCTTTCCATAGCTGCGACAGCAACCTTGAGCAAACGATCATACTTAGCGCTGTAGCCTGGCTGGCCAGATTTCAGACCAGGAGGCTGTTCAGGGAACAGGTAGGATAGAGGATTGCGAATTTTCCATCCAAGATGCAGCCGGTTAGGCGTCATCGCGGTGGAGGAGTGGATGGAGTTGTTGTACAACCCTTGCACGATCGGCAATTCCTCATCCCAAGAGTTCTGATCAGGCACAAAACGCTCAGAGAAGTTGGATCACAGTCAGGTTGATCTCCTCGGCCAGTCTATTGGCTTCGGGATGTCGACCAAATGTCATCTTGAGTTTCATGTCATAAACCTGGGAGGTGAAGTCCTTCCATTCTGCGCTTATGAACCTAGTGTCCCGGTCACTCACAAGAGTTTTCGGGGGCCCACACTGCAGAATGTATCTCTTGTGAAACTCTTTGATCACAAGGTGAGTTGGGGCGTGAGGTGGTAGTGGGATCAGATTCAAAAACTTCGAAAAACGATCGACAATCACCATAACTTGGGAATAATCGTTTCTGCTCTTCTTCCCCATGTCCGTGAAGTCAATAGAAACAGACTCCCCCGGACCGTCAGGAATAGGAAGAGGGTGCAGCAGCCCATAAGGCTTCTGCCGAGACGGTTTAATGCGTTGACAAACTTCATACTCAGCCACAAACCTTTGCGCCATTCTTTTCATACCAGGCCACACAAACTTTTCCAACAGATTCCCGTATGTCTTCTCAACACCGAAATGTCCACTCCGGCCATGAGCCAAATCCAAGAAGTGAGTGATGATTGGCTCATGGTTGGGTACACACAACCGGTCATGCTTACCGTAGCGTCGGAAGAGAAGGCCCTTACATTCATGGAAATCAGGCTGACTACTAGGGTCAGCCCGAATCTGCTTAAGGATGGGACTGAGTTCCGGATCCTTGGCAGTGTGCTCAATGAGTTCCTTCTGTAAGTTCTTGCGAAGATCGTAGAAACCCACTAGGCAAGTCATGTACTCAGGGTGGCGAGACAAAGCATCCGCAACACGATTATAGCAGCCTTTGTGTTTGAGTTCAAAATCGTACACATCAATCTCATCCAGCCAGCGGGTCAGCATAGTTGATGGGTTTATCTGTGTCTGAATCCACTTCAAAGTCTCATGATCCGAGAACACTTTGAAATGGCGACCCAAGAGGTAGTGTTTCCAATGATCTAGTGCCTCTCTCAAGGCATAGAGCTCTCTCATGTAAGTGGAGGCAACTACCTTGTGGCGGGGCATGCGTTTGCTGTAGTATTCCAGCGGACGTAAACCATCACCATCATCTTGCTGCAGCACTGCACCAATCCCATACAAACTTGCATCCGTAGTTACTACGAAGGTAAGTTTGGGATCTGCAATGCGGAGCACCGGATGACTCACCAAAGCCTCCTTTAGTGCTTCGAAGGCTGTCGTGCATTCTTCATTCCATGTGTAGGACACATTCTTGCTTGTTAGTCTAGACAGCGGACGGGCGATGATAGAGAACTTAGGCACAAACTTACGGTAATATGACGCAAGACCAAGAAAAGAACGCAACTCAAGGACATTCGCAGATTGGGGCCATTTTTGGATGACCTCAACTTTGGTTGCCTCGGGCTCTAGGCCTGCAGCAGACAACCGATGTCCAAGGTAGATGACGTTGTCCCTCCCAAACTCAGACTTCTCCAAGTTGAGATGGAGTTGTGCGTCCTTGAGGATCTGCATCACTTCCTCAAGGTGTCTCATGTGCTCTTCCATTGCTTTGCTGAAGATTAGTATGTCATCCAGATATACAACAACAAATCGATTGATCTGATTGCGAAATACCCTATCCATGAGACTTTGAAAGGTGGCTGGTGCATTCGTGAGGCCGAAGGGCATGACTGTGAACTCGTACAGCCCTTCGCGAGTTTTGAATGCAGTTTTGTGCTGGTCTGCAGGTTCGACCTCAATCTGGTGATAGCCAAACTTGAGATCGATCTTGCTGAAGACTTTGCACCCACCTGCAGCGTCAAGAAGATCATCGATACGTGGCAAAGGATATGCATTCTTTCTTGTGATTCTATTCAATCCGCGGTAGTCAATACACATCCGCAGTTTGTCTCCCTTCTTAGGGACAAACAACACTGGTGCACCAAATTCAGACTCACTGGGTTTGATCCATTCCTTCCCAATCATCTCCTCAATCTGTCGTCGCAACTCCTCCAATTCGCCTGAGCCCATTCGATAGACACAGCCTTTTGGAGGGGTGCTACCTTCAATCAACTCGATTTTGTGTCGGACCGGTCGCACGGGAACTCCATGCGGTTCGACCAAGATCTCAGGGAACCGGTTGAGAAGGTTGCGAATTTCCGGTGGGATTTCCGGAGAGGGATCATCACTCTTAGGAGCCAGCATACCAGATTGCATAGGTGCAGCCAAAACAACAGACTTTGCAGCAGAGTCATTGGGACTAGAAGTAGAGTTGGTAGAAGTAGTAGTTGTTTCAGATGTAGAAACAACATGCAAAATAGAATCATTATTTACAGCAAAAATAGAAGGCACATGAGCAGGCCTAACAAAGGCTATATACATTCGCTCATTAGTTTTGCGCTTGCGCCACTTTTTGCAGAATTGCATTGCATTGAGAAAGATCACTTGGGACTCGTGCGGCTCATCCAAGAGGACTGGACGCTCGATTCCCATGGCATCTTTGACCATGAATTGTGAGTCCTTCCACGTGGTTGTTTCACATTGGGCCTGCAACCAGCCCAAGCCAATAATCGCATCGAAGGGGCACTGATCAAGGACATAAAAGTTCAACCCATG